CACACTTTCGACGAGCTTTACGAGTCATTTTCGGGGCCCGGTAAACAACAAAAACGTGGGAGCTACCGGCCAAAAACCCCGAAGAACCGAACGTGCTGGGGTAACACTCGCAAAAGCAATGCAGATGGCAGCCAGACAGGCCGAACGCGGCTCCTGCAAGTGTGAGCTGCGCCACGCTCGCCGGAGTTGAGCAGCGGTAGAAGCCACTTCTGGGTGATTGGTGACATAATTGAGACACAACATAGCATGGGCAAGCTGGATTACGGCAAAGGGGAGAGCAGTATGCTGGTGTAGAACCCAGACGAGCTAAGCCTCGCCGAAGCTGAGGCTGTCCACGTCGTATAGGACTGCGCTAGGCACCCGTGTCATTGCGGGCCGGCGCCGTGAAGGTACTTGCGCGCTACGGCAAGAGGCAATGTGCCTTCATCATCATTGGCGTGGACGAGGTCGAAGTCGCGGCCTTGTAAAACAGAGCCATGAGATCCCTGTCCATGAGTTGCAGGGTCGCAAGAGGGTCCAAGTTCGCCAACGCGCCCATGTCCTCATGTGGTGTCTCAAACAGGGCCGCGTTTGGCGAAACGGGAGGACTTGGCGCGCTCCGGCCCCCGGGAAGTGCTCCGGAGCCACGACGCTGAAGCCTGGGCGCCCATTAACCCAAGGCCAGAGTCTGCCCACCAAGGCGGGATGCCCCTCCAGCCCCACAAGCCAGCGACCTAAGTTGATCGAGCTGTGCAAGCGGGGCCTTGTTGCTGCTCCAAACCGTGCACATAGGCCGGCCCGACACAGTGATTGTCGGGAGGGAGAGTTTTTGCCATAAAAAGGCTGGGTCCGGGGAGGCTGCACACTCGAGAATTGGGAGCTGAACGCAAACAAGGTCGAGTTGGCACACTGCTCATGTGCGCCCCTTTGCCCAGCGGAGGGCTTCCTCGTGTGGGGCCAGCGTTTGACGCAAAAGAGTCGTCCGGGTTGGACGTTTTCATGCTAGCATCGAAACATCCATTGTCATCAGGATGCAATAGGGCGCTTGGAACACAGCGCCCAAATAGGCCAACGTGGTGACCACGTCGCCACTATGCCTCGCCTGTGTGCCAAATAGAGGGATGCCGGCCAGCAGTTCAGTGGCGCTCATACTGTACAGGAACGACTTGTGCCCCTGGCGTATCAGCTGCTGCCAAGCACTCTGATTTTGGCTCCGGCCATCAAGCAGTTAATATGGCGCTGAGTTCTCTGCTTGGCTCCAGCAAACCCTGCCTAAAAACACCGTGCTGAAGGCATGGCAAACAACGAGGCAGGTCAACACTGTTTCACAGCACCCCTGCTGAAACAAAGCGCCCCGCCCGAGGCCGAGGTTGCGGGACCTGAGCTTCCACAAGAGCCCGACCATGTGGAACTGCTCCAGGTAGCCATGCCAAAAAAGCATCCACAGGAGCAGCTGCTCACTCGTGTCTGTGCAGGAAACGCTGAACGAACGCCTTGCTGCCCTAAAAGCTGCCAGGGCAGCTGCGAAGGCTCACAGCATTGTGTGTCTTAGGAAGCTCAGGCCCTTTCTTGTACAGCCTTGTGTGCCTCTCCAGGTACAAGCCAAGCAGCTGAGCAAGGTGGTAAAGGCCGAAACAAAAAAACTCAAAAAAGCGCGGGCGGTGGCACGAAAGCTGAGCGAGGCAGACTTGCTAGGGCTTCTTGTAGAAAAGAGGCAACCAGTTCTCTGAGAGTGGGATCTGGAAGCTTCTAGAAACTGTTTTTTCGAAAGCTTTTCCCTCGTTTCTCACTCCCGCAGCTGATGCTCTTGATAATCTGCAGACTTCTTCTGAAGTCGACAAGTTTGTGCAGACTCCAAACTTTTCTTCTGCACTCTAAACGCCTGTGCTGTTGCTGCTTTCTGCAAGAGAAGCAGATGCAGCGACACGTGCCTTGAAAATATTGCTGCTTTGTTTTGCTGAAATGATGTCGGAGATTGTGGCAGTAGTCCTGTGAAGTTTTCATTCGCTCTTTTGCAAATAACAAGTCGTAGCCGTGATGCCTTTGTCCTAACATGTTCAGACTTTTGGCAAGAACATTGTTAATATGCTTTGGGGAAGACTGAAGACAGCAGTGCACGGCAGCATGAGCTCAACAATGGTGTGCTTTGTCTGCGATGGATCGGTCGTGACCTGAGATGCTAGCCTGTCTCTGCGTTGTTGCGGCCGTTCTTGCAAGCCCTGCTGTCCTATTTAGGAAAATATTGCATCGGATCAAGCTTTTGAGATTTCGGAAGATATTGCATCGAATCAAACTTTTGAGAAATAGGAAGTTATTGCTTCGGATCAACCTTTTGAGATGTGCTCTGGAGTACTGCTAGCGATGGTAGAGACAGCAGTGCAGTGCAGTACAGCGGCATCTGACGACTGAAGACAGTAGTGCAGTGCAGCAAATACTGCGCCGTTCTTGAGGTGTGATTTTTTTTGCGACGGATCAGTCGTGACCTGAGATCCAAGCCTCTTTCTGTGCTGTTGCTGCCGTTCTTGCAAGTAGCCGCGTCGTGCTGTCATATTTGGGAAGATATTGCATCGGATCAACCTTTTGAGATTTAGGACATAATTGCATCGGATCAAGCTTTTGAGATGTGCTCTGGAGTGCTGTAAACGATGGTAGGGACAGCAGTGCAGTGCAGCGCAGTGCAGTGCATCTGAAGACTGAAGACAGCAGCGCAGTGCAGCATCAGCTCAATAATGCGCCGTTCTTGAGGTGTGATTTTTTTTTGCGACGGATCAGTCGTGACCTGAGATCCAAGCCTCTCTCTGTGCTGTTGCGGCCGTTCTTGCAAGTAGCCGCGTCGTGCTGTCATATTTGGGAAGATATTGCATCGGATCAACCTTTTGAGATTTAGGACATAATTGCATCGGATCAAGCTTTTGAGATGTGCTCTGGAGTGCTGTAAACGATGGTAGGGACAGCAGTGCAGTGCAGCGCAGTGCAGTGCATCTGAAGACTGAAGACAGCAGCGCAGTGCAGCATCAGCTCAATAATGCGCCGTTCTTGAGGTGTGATTTTTTTTGCCACGGATCAGTCGTGACCTGAGATCCAAGCCTCTCTCTGTGCTGTTGCGGCCGTTCTTGCAAGTAGCCGCGTCGTGCTGTCATATTTGGGAAGATATTGCATCGGATCAACCTTTTGAGATTTAGGACATAATTGCATCGGATCAAGCTTTTGAGATGTGCTCTGGAGTGCTGTAAACGATGGTAGGGACAGCAGTGCAGTGCAGCGCAGTGCAGTGCATCTGAAGACTGAAGACAGCAGCGCAGTGCAGCATCAGCTCAATGATGCGCCGTTCTTGAGGTGTGATTTTTTTTTGCGACGGATCAGTCGTGACCTGAGATCCAAGCCTCTCTCTGTGCTGTTGCGGCCGTTCTTGCAAGTAGCCGCGTCGTGCTGTCATATTTGGGAAGATATTGCATCGGATCAACCTTTTGAGATTTAGGACATAATTGCAACCTTTTGAGTTGCTAACGCGGTAAAGGGCAGTGTTCGTGGTGTCGTGCTCTGGAGTGCTGCTAACGCGGCAGAGACAGCAGTGCAGCGGCAATTCAAGACTCTTCGCAGGGTTGCTCTTTCAGTTCAGCTCCTTTTAGGGTTTAGGGTTCCTCAACACATCTGGGGTTTCCCAACCAACATCTCCTTTTAGGGTTGAAGGTGTTATTTTCTGGTTTTGAGCGGAGATTTTTAGACTTCTGCCAAGAACACGCTTCCAAAGAATAGCTGGAGACTCTGCAAATCCAGTTTTACGTGGTGTGGCGCTCTGGAGTGCTGTTAACGCGGTAGAGACAGCAGTGCAGTGCAGCGGCAATTGAAGATTGAGTAGAGACAACAGTACAGTGTAGCACCGGGTAAATCAAGCGCTGCTCCCTAGGTTTTTCTGATTTCTGACACATCGGTCGCGACCTGAGATTGACACACTGAGAACAGTCCCAGTCATGGTTTGGAGTGCCGCTACGTGATGGAGAGCGATGTTAGTGGCGTCGTGCTCTAAAGTGCTGCTATAACGCGGTAGAGACAGCAGTGCAGTGCAGCCGCAGTTTCAAGACTGACTAGAGACAACAGTACAGTGTAGCATCAGGTAAATCAAGCGCAGTTCCCTAGGCTTTTCTGATTTCTGACGCATCGGTCGCGACCTGAGATTGACAGACTCAGAACAAGTCATGGTCTGGAGTGCTGCTACGTGATAGAGAGCGATGTTAGTGGCGTCGTGCTCTGAAGTGTTGCTTTAACGCGGTAGAGACAGCAGTGCAGTGCAGCGGCAGTTTGAAGACTGAATGTTGCTGTGTCGTGCTGTGGAGCGTGCGTGCAGTGCAGCTTTGTTTTCAGAATGAAAACTGCAGGCAGTGCAGTTGCCGAGGCTTGCTTGACTTCCATCGGATTTGTGACTGAACAGGGCAAAAGTCCAGCCGCTCCTTGCTTTGTAGCTTGCAGAGCAGGCGTTGACGCAATTTACACTTCGGCATTGTCCTGCTCCCACCACGTACACTTCACAGCGTAGAAGCGCCGCACGATGCAAAGAGATGCCTGTTTTGCTCGCTACCCCCCTCCTTGGTTTCATTTTGCTCGGGATGCGCTGCTCATGTTGCTCGCTTTGTCTCCCCAGTTTTATTGCTCAAAGGACGCTCTTCTGGTCGCTCAAGCGTGGATCCACCAAGAAAAAGACATGCCATCGTCCACCTGGGCCGAAGGACTGGAGACCACTAGTAGCTGGAAGGCCACAGTGAGCCCCGTGAGGCGTTCCTTTTTTTCTGCTCTGGGAGAATAATAATTCTATTCTCCCACAGCGGGAAAAAAGGAATGCCTTCCCCACTAGGGGGATTTCCATCTGGAAGGTTCCTTTGCGTTCCTTTCCGCTCTGTTTTCCACCAGAAACGTGGAAGTCGCAAGGGTTCTGACAGGTTTGGTGTTCCCTTTCCATTCCTTTCCACAGTTTTGGACATCCAGTGATCTGTTCTGCCGTTGGCGCGTGGCCCAAAGTTGCTTCAATGAAGCGCCGGCGTTTGCTATATAAGCAGCCTCTTCCTGCCGCGCCGTCGAGTGATGAGCTTGGGCAGGTGAGAACGCTTGTGAGAGACAAGTGGGTTGCCTCCTACCTTGCCGAGCATGGACGTGGGGGTCAGGATGCACGTGCTGCGGCCAAACGAGAGTTCACCTCAGCCGCCAACAAGCGTCAGATGCTGAGTTCCATGCTGGAGTCTGGGCAGGTACCACCCCGGCTTCATGCAGCAGCCACCCGTCTAATCATGGCTTGGACATCTGAGACGCCCCTCCGTGGCCCACATGAGGTGGAGGAGGATGTCATGAGTTCGTACCGTGGCAGTGGGACTATGTTTCGGTATTCAGGGTCGTGGAGCCGTGTGGACGATGCCGCAATGTCGGCGGTGCTGGTTGCGAAGGGTCACAATGGCATTTCTGAGGTATGCAGTCGCCTCAAGTGTCACCCCTATGTGCAAGGATTGTGGGACGAGTTCTCGGCCTTCAGGCAGCAGCTGGTGTCAAGCACACCTATCACGCGCTGGACTGCAGCCATGGAGCTACATGTGGAAGCTTCGCTTGCGGCCAACCCTCCCATTCCATCGGTACACATACATTTTATGTTTGATGCCATTGGCAAGACCATCTCATTTCGAAATGAGCCTGGATTGAAGTTTCGCAACTCGCAGCCGTACAGGTCGCTTGCAGCACCAGTCGCCCGCGGACGGGCTTGCAAACGAGCCTATGATCAGGGGCACTTTTACTTGACTCCGCTCAAGACAGGTGCCATACTCCATGCCACAAATGCACCACCGTTCAAGTCCTATGCAGTGTCTCCAGAATGGATCACAAGCATGTGGCAAGGGGATAAATTGTCTCCGGAATCGGCCAAGGAACTCTATCTCAAGTGCAAAAAGCACGTCAAACAGTATTGTGACAATGTCACATCACAGGTCCAGATGACCCAGCAGAGCAACTTGCAGGAACGCCAGGCTGCAGCACAGGCAGCCTTGCTCCGCATGCATCGTCCTCGGGTGTATCTGGAACCAGTGGAACAAGAGTTCTTGCCTCAATTCCAGGTGGATGCTTTCAGACGACGCTTCTTGGTGCTGGACGGACCCACGAAGCTCGGCAAGACGATCTTTGCCTCCAGCCTTGCAGGACCCGAACACACTCTGGAGTTGAATTGTGCATCGTCCATGGAACCCAATTTGCGGGACTTCAACAATGATGTTCATCGCGCGATCGTGTTTGATGAGGCATCTTGTGCCATGGTTCTCCGGCACAAGAAGCTTTTCCAGGGTGGTGTGCAACCACTGGAACTGGCCAGCTCCAACACGAATTGCTACTCTTACAAGGTTTGGGTCTATGGCACGATGATGATCGTCACAAGCAACACCTGGACTGCAGAGTTGCATGAGCTGTCACCTGAGGACGCATCATGGCTGCGTTCCAATTCGGTGCACGTCTACTGCACACAGAAATTGTATTGCTAATGACTGCTAATGCATGAGTGACTATGGCGAAGAAAGGGCCACGTCTGCTGCTGTCACTTTGGTGCAAGGCTTCCAAGACCACGTCAGATTTTCTCACTCTGGGGCCAGTGCCGAGGCAGAGAGTTTCAAGCTAGGACGTCTGCTGTTTTCAGTTTGGGGTGACAGTGCCTCCCAAGATGACGTTGGGTTTCCGAAGAAGGTGTTGAAAGTGCCAACGTCTGCTGTTGTCACTTCGGTGCAAGGCTTCCAAGACCACGTCAGATTTTCTCACTTTGGCGGGCAGTGCCTCCAAAAAAGGCTTCCAGCCCTCCAGCCTCCAGCCTTCCAGCCTTCCAGCTCTGCAGGTCTCCAGCCCTCCAGCTTTTTAGGGCAGAGAAGCAGAGGGAGGGGCTGGAAAGGGTTGGGAGCTGGAGAAGGCTGGAAGGCTGGAGGGCTGAGGGGTGGAAGGCTGGAACTGGAGCGCTGGAAGGTGGAGGCTGGAGGGAAGGCTGGAGGGTTGGAGGAGGGCTGGAAGGCTGGACTCCAGCCTCCAGCCCTCCCTCCAACCTTCCAGCCCTCCAGCCTTCCAGCCTGGCTGAGGGGTGGAAGGCTGGAGTGCGGGAGGGGAGGGAGGGAGTGAGGGAGGGAGGGAGGGAGTGAATGAGGGAGTGAGGGAGGGAGGGAGGGAGCGAATCAGGGAATGAGGGAGTCAGGGAATGAATGAGTGGTTGAGACGTTGATGCCGTCCGTATCTGCCGTATCGTGTTTCGCTAGTGGTTTCCATGATGTTCCATGCAAAAATGCAATATTTGTCAAGAAAGTGAGAGTTCGCGGGGCCACCAGCGACGGGCAGAGTTCGAAAAAACTGGTCTATGAAGTGTTTGACACGTTCAGTCCGTCCGTATTTGCCGTGTCGTTGTCCGCTAGTGCTTTCCATGCAAAAAAGGCAAGATTGTCAAGAAACTGAGAGTGGCGCAGCCACCAGGGACAGTGCAGAGTTCGAAAAAATGGTGTATGAAGTGTTTGACACATTCAGACCGTCCGCATCTGCCGTGTTGTATTTCGCTAGTACTTTCCGTGCAAAAATGCAATATTGTCTAGAAATTGAGAGTTCGCGCAGCAACCAGCCGCAGTGCAGAGTTCGAAAAAAATGGTGTGTGAAGTGTTTGACACGTTGAGGCCGTCCGTATCTGCCGTGTTGTATTTCGCTAGTGCTTTCCATGCAAAAAAGGCAACATTGTCTAGAAATTGAGAGTTAGCGCAGCCACCAGCCGCAGTGCAGAGTTCGAAAAAAATGGTGTATCAAGTGTTTGACACGTGCAGGTTGTGAGTATCTTCTGGGGGAGCGCGGGAGGGAGGGAGGGAAGGAGGGAAGGAGGAGGAAAGGAGGGAACAGGGAGGGAGGGAAGGGAGGGAGGGAGGGAGCGAGGGAGGGAGGGAGGGAGGGGCGGGAAAGAGAGAGAGAGAGAGAGAGAGAGAGAGAGATTACTGAAAGTGACAGTGAGAGCGAGAGTGAGAGTCAGAGTGCGAGTGCGAGTGCGGGTGAGAGTGAGGGTGAGAGTGAGTGTGCGCGTGAGTGTGAGCGAGAGGGAGAGAGAGTGCCCAGGGGATGGCGGGGTCGTCAAAGTCAGAGGCAGCCGCTTTTGAAGTGTAGTGCTCGTGACCGCTGCGGAGTCGTCAAAGTCAGAGGCAGCCGCTTTTGAAGTGTAGTGCTCGTGACCGCTGATCCTGTTTGTTTCCTGTTGGTCGAACCCACCCCTCCGGGGGGCGGGGCAGTGTGTCTTGCTGGCGCAGGGCTTGGGCCCGCTTTATGGGGCTTGATTCCCACAGCAAGTGCTAGGAGGCCAAGTCGTGCCTGTAGAGTAAAAGCCAGCGGTGTTCAGACAGGCTATGCGATTGATTGCTTGTGCTGCATCATGCAGTTTTCCACAGCCACTAGCTGCTACTCGACATCCGTTTTCTCAAAGCAGAGGCGGTTTTGCGTTTGAAACATGGCTGCCGCAAATCCAGCAGTGGAGCTGCAGCGGATCCGCCAGGAGGTTTCTTTTGGTAGGTAGGACGACATAGAAAGGGAGCAGTTGTGCATTGTTGCTACTTTCTGTCGTGTGATTTCCTTTGGAAGGTTGCATGTCTTCGAAGAAAGATTTCTTCGTTGTCACGGACGAGAAGAGCCGAGAAGCAGCGGGAAGCCAACATGGGCTTGAATCCCCGTCAAGTGTTTGTCTTATTGGCGATTTATGTACTTACTGGTGACCCAGCGGTGGCTCTCGAGTATATCAGCGCGAAGGCTGCGCGTGAAAGGATGGAAGAGGCAGACGCAGAAGACAAGAAACGATATGTAGAAGAGCTGTACTTCAAAACAAGCTTGGAAGACATAGCATCGCTGCAGGATCCTTCTGGTTCGCGGCAGGGCATTTACAAGACTGCACAGCGTTGGATTGCCAGACGAAGAACCAGAAACTTCGTGTGCAATATGAATGCGATTGGCGTGGCTCCAAGTTCAGAGCAAGTTGCAGAAGAATATCGCAAACAAAGTGCGTCCTCTGTACCAACTACCGATGCCCGTGGATTACGAGCCTGGAGCAGTCGCTTCCGTCGCAGTTTTGCCTTCCGGCTGGGCAAGATGAAAGCGGCCAAGCCAGTGGAAGATGTTTGTGCAAAGGCCGGGTGCTGGGTTCTCGAGACTTCCTGCACGCATAACACCGCATGCTTATGGTAGCTGCTTGCAGTGGATCGTTCTGCACTTATCTGCGTTTCGATACCTCCTAACCAGCGGCAGCATTTGGACCCGAGGATTGAGGGGCCGCATCGCTTTCGACTCCATGCGGGGATGCTTTTTGAGCTCATTTTTGGACCCTCTTTTTTGAGCTGCTTTCTAAGGCTAACTCGTGGAAGCACTTACAACCCCAAAACGAGGCTCCAAAATGAGGCCTCGTTCTGGCTCCAGTTTTGGGGCCCAATTTGGGTTCAATTTCGGGAAGCCATTTCTCGTTGCCTGCAGGCCGTGCTCTTCTGGCGCCACGCTGCTTGGTTGGAACGCTCCAGCGCGAAGCAGCCAGTCTACATCAATATAGATGAAACTGCTTTAGCCTATTCGTTCCATGCTGCGCCTGGCCTGATACAGCGGAAATTCCACGCAGAGGTTCAAGTTAGACCTCAAGACGCACGTGGGTGCATCACCCACGTCGCTCTCGTCTCAAATGTCCTCAGTGTGCAAGCGCATTTGCCACAGATTTTAATATGTAACAAGCGTCGTCTCAGCAGAACCCTGGAGCAACAATTGCAAAGCGTTGTTCCCTCCACCGTGACTCTCTGTCGTGAGGATTCCTCATGGAATTCAGCACGACATATGGTCTCCTTGCTAACTCTCTTGGGTCAGCTCTTTCGCATCCGCTTCCCGCAATATCAGGCCATTGTTGTCTTCGACGCGGCCTCGTGCCATCTTTCTCCGGGCGTCATAAGAGAAGGACGCCTCCAGGGGTTATTCATGCTGCCGGTGCCCCCAGGCATGACGTCCTACCTGCAGCCTTTAGATTTATGGTGTTTTGGACCATATAAGAAATGGTTGGAGCGCGAAAACCGCCAGCAGCGAATTTGCCAAAATGGGCTCGTGTCTCTAGAGACTTGGTTTAGAACAATTTTCAAAGCGTGTACAGACTACTGGACGAATCGTCCCTTTTGGAAGGCCTTTGCACAGGCAGGCCTTCCCACATCCGAGCAAAGGTTGCGTGGCAAGCTTGCCTCGCTGTTCCCGGAGGGAATTCCCAGTCTGGAGCAAGCTTTGTCTCCAGATGAATTTGCACAGTTGTTGCCTAAAAGGCACGACTTGACCCGGACTTTTTCTGACTGGGTGGGCGGTCCCCGGCGAGAGGTGCCGGTGCTTTCCTAAACATCTTGAAGCATGCAGAGAAGACGTGCTGCCGCAAAAAATTGCAACTGTACAGGAACGACTTGTGCCCCTAGCGTATCAGCTGCTGCCAAGCACTCTGATTTTGGCTCCGGCCATCAAGCAGTTAATATGGCGCTTGCTGAGTTCTCTGCTTGGCTCCAGCAAACCCTGCCTTAAAACACCGTGCTGAAGGCATGGCAAACAACGAGGCAGGTCAACACTGTTTCACAGCACCCCTGCTGAAACAAAGCGCCCCGCCCGAGGCCGAGGTTGCGGGACCTGAGCTTCCACGAGAGCCCGACCGTGTGGAACTGCCCCAGGTAGCCATGCCAAAAAAGCATCCACAGGAGCAGCTGCTCACTCGTATCTACGCAGGAAACGCTGAACGAACGCCTTGCTGCCCTAAAAGCTGCCAGGGCAGCTGCGAAGGCTCACAGCATTGTGTGTCTTAGGAGGCTCAGGCCCTTTCTTGTACAGCCTTGTGTGCCTCTCCAGGTACAAGCCAAGCAGCTGAGCAAGGTGGTAAAGGCCGAAACAAAAAAGCTCAAAAAAGCGCGGGCGGTGGCACGAAAGCTGAGCGAGGCAGACTTGCTAGGGCTTCTTGTAGAAAAGAGGCAACCAGTTCTCTGAGAGTGGGATCTGGAAGCTTCTAGAAACTGTTTTTTCGAAAGCTTTTCCCTCGTTTCTCACTCCCGCAGCTGATGCTCTTGATAATCTGCAGACTTCTTCTGAAGTCGACAAGTTTGTGCAGCCTCCAAACTTTTCTTCTGCACTCTAAACGCCTGTGCTGTTGCTGCTTTCTGCAAGAGAAGCAGATGCAGCGACACGTGCCTTGAAAATATTGCTGCTTTGTTTTGCTGAAATGATGTCGGAGATTGTGGCAGTAGTCCTGTGAAGTTTTCATTCGCTCTTTTGCAAGTAACAAGTCGTAGCCGTGATGCTTTTGTCCTAACATGTTCAGACTTTTGGCAAGAACATTGTTAATGTGCTTTGGGGAAGACTGAAGACAGCAGTGCACGGCAGCATGAGCTCAACAATGGTGTGCTTTGTCTG